AAACAATTATTTTATTCACAATGTGGTCTGTCGTTGTAAGACATTACTAACATAGCATGTATTGACTGATTCTATTTCAACTGGTTGAGTACTTGATTTCTGGCATGACCTTGTAAAATATTTTTAGATTGTAAAAAAAATTTTATTTTTTTGAGATAATAATTTTTTAGTTATACAAGTCTTACTAATTAACCCCGAGCTTAGAACCGGTGGATTCATATCTTTCCCAAGATTATTTGCATGTTAGTGAACATAACAAAACCAACTGGAATTAGAACTTGGCTCTCTGACTAACAATTCCTCACCATTATCTATTACACCAGCTGCACATCCAGGTTTACAGCACCCGGCATTCCTAAACAGTCACCCGTCTAGGTACCGACCAGGCTCGATATTGCTTAACTTTGGTGATTATATGGGAACCAGTGATAGAATGTGATGTGGCTGTAAGTTTAATCTTATGTTTCTCAACTTTTTTCAGCAATGGCACACCTAAGAGCAAATGAAAATATCACGCCACACTTAGCAAAATTTTTAAAGGGTAGACATTTGAATGTTATGAAATAAAAACCATAGATTTCAAAAAAATACACACACAAATATGAACTTACTTTATTTCACTGTTTCTATTCAACTATTTGTGCCGTCTATTTAGTGTGAAACATGTGCCTGATGTTTCTTCGCAATTTCTTCAATGTTTAGTCAAATGTGTGATAAACAGATCTTCATTTCTTCTTCAGTTAAGTGTAGTCTTTCTCGCTTCTTATTTTTTATGTTATTTAGGGTTAAGAAGCCTAATTCACATAAATAAGAAGTAGAAAATTGCAAGAAAACTGATAAAGCCTTTTTAGCTAATGTGGGATAAAAAATTTAATACTTATTCACTGTTCTAATCTCTGAAGTTGAATAATTTGAAAAAAGGTTGCAGCTTCTGTTTCAGGGGGACATCATGAGGACAAAATAACTGAAAGAAGAATTAACTAATTGAGATAGTTTACAAGATGGAATGAGAACATTTTGCACTCATGAATTGAATAAAGGGTTTTGTTTTGTTTTTGTTTTTTTTACATTCACAGAAGGTGAGAAACTACAGTGAAGATCTTAAGCACAATGGCCAAAGCCGGTGTGAATGTAATGACCAAGATTAGGACAAATCTGAATAAATCAGTGGTTAATAACTTAAAAAAAAAAAAAAAAAAATTAAATTAAAATATTCAGACAGAAATTTCTAGCAATGTTACTTGATTCTAAGAAATGAGACACCCCCCCACACACATTTTGCAGCCCTTCCATATCCCCCAAAATGAAAATCAGTTTTTTTACTGTCTTGTATGTTTATGCAAAGAAAAATAATCAAAATTGGAATATCATTGGTTGTCTGGTTTGACAGATTCAATGATGATGAAGTATCCTATCCGACAGAACAGGAAGGTTTGAATTCTTGCCGTTTCTTCATTTTAACTCTTAGCCTCTGAAGGGAATCTGAAACTGTTCTCCAAAATGCATATTGATTTTTAGAAACACACAAAAAAAAAAAAAAATGGACAGTTATGTCAAAATTTTTTTATCTTTTATAAACAATAACTTATCAAAAAGAATGTTGTGTGTTACCTGGTTACATAAACATCTTTTTATGTATCTTGTCCCTTCAGGACGTGATCGATCATGGCTCTCCACAGCTTCCTATCCTTCATAACTCTAAGCAATGTTTTTTCTTTTTATTATTTCTCCCAGTCTCAAATCTGCCATCGATTTACACAAACTCAGTAGGTAGGTTACTTGCCATTATCCTTTGCGCCTCCTGCTTTCAATATATCCTGTGAGTGTCAGATTCGCCAAGCCTTCTTTTCTCATTAAATTTCAAATTTTGCCTTTCAATTCTAAGTACAAGTGTCCTTTTTGTTTATACTTTCCTTCCTCATTGCTCATATGTTCAGTTCATTGTATTGTCAGCATCCTTCTGTAGAACTATGTTTCTATTGATGTCTCATGTTCCATCTTCATCTTTGATGAAACTGTCCAGCATTCACTGATAAAATGTCAGCACTCTTTTTCTTTTGTTTCTAATTAAATCTTCCTGTTTCTTAATACTTTGTTTAACTTTTGGAAGACATCTTTCACTGTTCTGATGTGCCTTAGGATTTCTGTGTCATAATTTCTCTTGTCTGCTAAAACAATTCCTAGATAGTTAAATTTCTGTACTTTGCTGGATTTTGAATTCTCCAATTGGTAGCTTGCATTTCGGGTTGTCTCTTTTGTTGAAGACCATTCATTCCATCTTCTTGCAACGGATGGTTACTCCTTTCTTCTCACTTTCCTTTACTAGCTTGTTATAGCAAAGAAAAATCCCTGCGGTTATCGTGCATTTATTCTAGTGGACAGTAGAAATAGCCAGCATGTATATGGTGGAATCCTGCTGAAAACATGCAAATGACTTTACACTTCTTAAGCTGAGCACAGGTTTTTGCTTGTGAAATTTCTAGAGTAGTAACCATGCTCACTGGTGGGTTTATAATGCTATGATTAGTTATTTCTAAGTATATGTCCTGGCTATTTACAACAGTTTGGCATCTTGTTGTGACAAGGTTTGGTTCTTGGTGGTTCTAAAACTGTTGTGATGTCCCTAGATTCAGACTCGCCAACAATCAAGGGATGACGACTTCCCTTTCAACGACGACCTTGGGGAGCAGAAAGATATAGAACATGAGAGAGAAAGTGAGGAGGAGGAAGAAGCAGGTATCTCTATAGCCCTAAGACGACCAAAACGCTGTATAAGAAAACCCCGAATGTATGCAGGCAGGATTTTGGAATAAGAGGGAAACAATCTGAATACAAAGGAGGGAGCAGATGTGATGTCTGCGCGAGTATAAATAGAACTGGCTCGGTTGAGGTGGAACTATTGAGTATACATCAAACCTGTGATGTAGTAAACAGCTGAGCTGTGTCTTGAATGTTCAGTTGTGCTGATTTGAGGCCAGTGTTTGTGTTGATTTGCTCAACCTTTTAAAACTCGATAGTTATTGCAATTATCTATCTGTATCTGCCATAAATAACTATGTCATTAGGTTATGATTGTCTTTAGTGGGAATAAAATGCAATGCTATTAAGTATTACGGTTACATGAAAACTTTGAAGCAGATGGTAAACAATTAATGTTAAAATGTATTGATTGCTTATCCTCTGAAAATGACCGAGCCTTGAAGACCATTAGCCATTTGATTTTTTTTATCAGTGTATAACAAAAATATAGAGTATTAACATTGTTGTATATTATAGTTCTTAATTTTATACTGTCTATGCTTATCTATGTTTCAATTGAGATAAGGACCTGTTATCTTGAGAAGCAGGTCAGAGGTTACTTCTGGAGTGAGTCATATGTGTAAAACCTTAACCTTACAATGAAATCGGAACATATCACTGATGACTCACTCAGCACATCTTTATTATGTATTTTTAAAATTAATTTTTAACTTTCTATGGAGACTCTTTAACACTGCTGTCAGTCTCAATAGAATTGAGAATAAGGACCAAAAAAAAAAAAAATGGATGCCCATTTGAAAATGTAGAATATCTTGTACATTTATTTATCAACAAGAAAGTCAGCAGACGTTGCATACAATTTATTGGGTAATTTGGTTCCATAATAAATATTTTAACAAGGTTGCAGCAAATAAAACCTTAAACTAATAAATAAGCACAGAAAACTATTTCAACAATAACTCTAAAATAAGTGATGCTCTAAAAAAAAAAAAGCCATAGAAAATTGCAAGTTATAATATTTGATGCCTACATTAAGTCAATTGCTGAGTTGGCTCCTGGGAAGTTGGTTCACTGTGTCATGCTAGACAGTTTTTCTCACCAGAATCTATCTTTCAATTACCTTTTGTCTATGCATTGAATATTGTTGCTAGATCAGGTTGGGTGCTTCTGCTATGTATCTAGAGATTCTTGACAAAACCCAACAAAGAATCTGCAATGTTATCAGTCCTGACCTGGTATCTTGGCTTCAGCCACTTTCCCACCACTTTAACTTAACTTCCCTGTGCTTGTTCTATAAATATTTTCATAGCAATTGTTCTAATGTGCTTTCTTATTTACTACATTGATTTCAATATCTGTCTATATCTCTGAGATGAGGTATTATGATTACTTACATTATTTACATTATTCAAACTGTTATCCTCATCTCTATTGCCATATTCATAATGTTTCGGCTGTTGTACACTCTGGCCTTCTTCAGGTGATTAGAATTTCAAACCAAACCCTTTATTTCGTCCACCAAGGTAAGTTGTTCTAGTACCATGTACCATGCTTCTTCCAGGTGTCTCAGTTATTTCCCTTGAACTCAACTCTGCAAATTTTGGCTCACTGCTGCTGTGGTCTGGTATTGAACTCACAACTCTTTGGGTCTAGTCACTGGATCTAACCAACATATTTATCCACTAAATTGTTCTCAGTTCTCCATAAATTGTGTTAATTGTTGCATAATATATTTCATCTATTTTAAGTAGATAAAATATGTCAGCCCAGGAGGGTTGTTCATCTAAAAAGTAGCCCAGTGGATAAAGATGTTGGTTAGATCCAGTTACTAAGCCCAAAGAGTTGTGAGTTCAGTACTAGGCCACAGCAGTGGTGAACCAAAATTGGAGAGTTTAGTTAAATGGAAGTAACCAAGACATCCTGAAAAGGCACGGCATGTGGAACTAGAACAAGCTACCCTGGTGACCAAAATAAAGGATTCTGTTTGAAATTCCAGTTACCTAAAGAAGTCCAGTGTGTACAATGGCCGAAACATTGTGAATATGGCAATGAAGATGAGGAGAACAGTTCGAATAATGTAATCAGTGTAAGTAAATTGATTTTATGAATTTAAGTGCAGTACTAGATTGGCAGCTAGGTCTCATCATTTTGCTGTTGAAATTGCTTGATGTACTCATACGTTCTAGTCTAATATTTTCTTCTCTTACCAGGGTAACTCTCTTCTGGCTTCTTGCTTTCCTGCTAACTATTATTTTGAAAAATATAAATAACATTTCTAACTTTTTACCCTTTTCTTTTATTGTCCTTTCTACTTGATAAGGATTTTGTAGTTTCTCTCACATTCAGTATCCCTTTAGTGGCTTTATCACCTTGCTTGCAGTTGAAAGGATTAAAAGAAAAGAAATGGACAATTCCAAATGTGTCATGCTATACTATTTTTCTTTCCAGAATCTTTCTTATATATCTATAAGTCTATCATTCATCCATGCTTAGAATATTGCTGCCATATATGATCTGGTGCTCCTGCTATAAATGTAGAGCTCCTTGATAAAATCCAAAGAAGAATCTGCAATGTCATTGGTCCTGGCCTGGTATCTCGACTTCAGTCACTTTAACATAGCTTCCATATAGCTTTTCTATAAATACTTTCTTGGTAATTGTTCAGATGAGCTC